CAGTCGCAACTGGAAACAAAACTCTATCAGCCGTCTTCCTCTCTTCAATGCAATTTGATGCAGTCAAGATTCTCAGACACAGTTCTCATCCTAGGACGCAATTCAGGATCCAGTTCGGTGCAATTGAGTGCGATATGAAACACTGCAACAACTTGTCTCTCTGCGTGAACCTCACTTAATAATGCAGGGTCTATAATCTCAGACAAGGGGCGCGCCTCTCGAAACATGTTCCTCACAAGGATATCTAGTCCCTTACCATCATTTTCTGGTCTTGAATCTGGTAGCCATCCAGTTAAAAGCTCCATCAGTACAATTCCAAAAGAGTACACATCGCATTTCTGAGTGAACTTGCGGCCAGAGACTCGAGCTTCTGGTGCCAAGTAAACATTAGAGGGAGCTGAAATTTTCAAGCCCGTAGCAGAGGAAATGGTTTGGTTCAAATACTGTTTTTTTGATGCTGGAGTAGTGAATTTTGAGCCACTCGATGCAAGACGTGCAAGCCCAAAACTGGAGATGTAAGGCTGGAGTTCATCGTCCAGCAGGATTTTTGTAGATTTTAAGTTGCCATGAACATGCTTTCGAGGGCTGTGCTCATGTATGTACATTAAACCCCTAGCAGTTCCTTGAGCAATTTTCAACCTAGCCGCCCATGATAGCGCTGGCAAAGTATTAGAAGGTCCTCCTGCAAAATTTTTAACACCATATGGAGATTCATTACATTGATAATTGAAACCTTCAGGGGCTGTCTTTAACACCATATGGAGACTCATTAACATCACTAATTGAAACATTCAGAGCCTGTCATAAGGTTCTGAGTGAAATAATAGCAACAAATGATCATTGCAAGCACGATAATACCAGTGCTGCAGAGCATATTCTCTTTCATATTTTAAGATGCAAAAAGGAACTTAACATGCATGTGTCAAGAGTATCAGTTAACAGGAGAACATTATTCAGTGTACTGAGAAAAATCAGATAACTTAAACGCCAAACACCAATATATAAAAGAACAAAGTTCCATATTTTAAAGTCAAATAGCACCTATGATGCATGATGAATCACAGCAGTACAAACAAAAAGCCTGCCCAGCAGTCCATGATTTGGATACATGTCACAGAGAAATATCAATAGTGAGAAAGATATCGACCTCAGCATTCACCCTTGAGGGCTGTTAAAAGACGTTAGATCTTGTATTTATAGACACAAGCTATGGTAGTTTGTGAGGACCACACAATACTGAGCATAAGCAAGCGTGGTAGATTGAGAGGGCCACAGCATCAAGAATACGTCCAGAAGCCAATTACCATTTATGGGAAATCAAGAAGACAAATAATTTGAATATTTGAAGGGAAGAAAACGACGAGAATGATGCCCCAGGTGCATCAGAGCAGGAGTTTTTACCGCTTCAAAGAAAAGGAAGGCATTGCAAACTTGAAATATTCCAAAGTTGCTAGTGCTAACTGCTAGGATAATTCCAGCGTACATCCCTGAGTATATTTTTGTGGTTGAAACATATTCAAAACTGGGAATGTGACATCAACACGTTCCACAACTGGAACATAACATCAAATTGCCCCCCCCCCCCAAAAAAAAAAACTAAGTATTTCAATTTCTAATATTTAGGGTCAAGCATTGCCGCAGGTCCTTTTCAGTTGCCAGCGAATTTGACCCATTGTTGAATATGTGCTCTTCTTAAAGCATCCATCAAGCATCTCTTAAAACCGAGGAAAACAACATTTGACACAATTTACTAGCTTCAACAGGCTTCACTATTCCAATCTCACCACCCAACTTAAAAGACTAAGAAAAACATTTTCTTCATGGAGATTTACGACTCTGAAGTGTGTACGCAAAGTAATGATATCCAGATATAGCATTAAAAATCGAATGCAAAATCAATATCTCGAGAAGTTACAGCAGATAAAAGCATAAAACATCTCACAGATGCAATTAACAGTTTGAATTTTCGCATTTTAAAGCATAGTTATCAAATCAAGCTTCGAGTTGGTTGTTAAAATGAAACGATATCATTTTAAATAAAAATTAAAAGAAAAATCCTTGGAGGTGACCGAGCTGGGTCTCTCACCCTGGTATGACCGAGCATACCTCCAAACTGGTTCAAAATAAAAACCGGTTAGAGCTAGGGTCAGGGTCAGGGTCCGGTCATCTCGGGTTTGTTAATTTTAAATTTCTTTGTCGTCTATGGTTGATCTGTAGGAAAACTAACTTATCTTTTCTTTGATATTATTCATCTTTTAAATAAAGATTACAGAGGCATGGGTAACGGATACATAGCTAATATCATGGCTGTCTATTGTGCTATACATGGAATATTATGGCTGTCTATGGTGCTATACATGGAAGCATAATTACTGCTTATTATGCTGTGCATGGAAGGAAATCACGTATACTAAACAGAGTGATAAAATCATGGGGATAAAATCATGAATGATAAACTGTATCTCTTCATCCCCCCTCAAGCTCAAGGCGGTATTGGACTGATGAAGAGCTTGGTTCTATTTGGTACAAATTTGGCAGCGCATAAAGGTTTTGTAAAGATATCAGCGATTTGAGCTGGACCAGAGATATGTTGCAAAGAAAGACTACCACGAGCAACTTGTTCCCGAACAAAATGAACATCAATCTCAATATGTTTCGTGCGATGATGGAAAACAGGATTCTTAGCCATGTTGATAGCACTTAGGTTGTCACAATATAATATGGGAGCAGGAAGTAAATAACCGATGCTTTTCAAAAGATGTATAAACCACATAAGTTCAGCAGTGGTGGATGCTAAAGCACGATATTCAGCCTCAGCTGTGGAACGAGACATTGTAGCTTGCTTTTTAGCTCCCCAGGACAATAAGTTATCACCCATATAGATAGCAAAACCAGTCGTAGAACGACGATCATCCCTGGAGCCGGCCCAATCCGCATCACAAAAACCACGAAGAGCAATTTGAGGAGTTTTGACAAAGTGAAGACCAATATTAAGAGTACCTTTGAGGTATCGAAATACACGCTTAACAGCAATGAGATGAGAGTCACGAGGATGTTGCATAAATTGGCAGACATTATGGACCGCATAGGAGATATCGGGGCGTGTCAAGGTGAGATATTGAAGCGATCCAACAAGTCGACGATAATAAGTTGAATCAGATAGGAGAGTGCCCTCATCAGCAGTCAACGACGTACCAGAAGCCATAGGGGTGGAGACTGGTTTTGCACCAGACAGTCCAAACTTCTGAAGCAGAGAAAGAAGATAGCGAGTCTGAGTGACAGTGATGGTCGACTCACTGCGTGTGATTTGGAGTCCTAAAAAAAAATGAGCATCTCCAAGATCCTTCATGTGAAAAGCAGCAGATAGATGAGAAATAAAGCTCCTAATGCTGGAAGGAGAGCTCCCGGTTATAAGAATGTCATCGACATAAATTAAAAGCATAATGATATCTGAACCTTGACGATGAGTAAACAAGGATTGATCATAGGGACACCGATGAAAACCCATTTGCTGAATATAAGCACTGAACTTCATGTACCACGCTCTTGGAGCCTGTTTTAAACCGTAAAGAGCTTTATGCAAGTGACAAACATGATGAGGATGAGACGAGTCTTCAAAGCCAGGTGGTTGAGATAAATAGACCTGCTCTTGTAGATCACCATGGAGGAAAGCATTACTGACATCAAGTTGTTTAATGGACCAGCCGTGAGACAAACCAAGTGTGAGAATTAATCTGATGGTACAATGTTTAACCACTAGACTAAAGGTTTCATCATAGTCCAAGCCAGGGAGTTGTGTGAAGCCATGGGCAACTAGTCGGGCTTTATAGCGTTCAATTGAGCCATCAGATCGTGTTTCAATTTTAAACACCCATTTGCTGCTGACGAGGTTCATATCTGATCGTCGAGGCACCAAAGTCCACGTGTTGTTGCTGGCAAGGGCAGTAATTTCAGCTTGCATGGCTTGCTGCCACTTTGGATCAATGAGAGCTTGCTTATACGTCTGGGGCTCTTGTGGGTGATTTTCAAAATCAGCGAGAAAGCATGCAGGTATTGGATGTCTAGAAGAAAAGAAAGTCTTAGGCTTTAGTGAACCTGTTTGAGCCCGTGTGATCATAGAATGACGGCGACGTGGAGCAGAATGTGAGATGATCCCAGTTGGCAAAGAAGATAATTCTGGTGCAGCTTGAAGAACAGTGTGAGGAGGAGAAGGCTCCTGGCATGGAGGAGATTGAGGCATTAATGCAGAGTTTTGAACAGGAGGAGATGAAGACTGCTCATGGCCAACAGGATTAACAACTGCAGGTAAGGAATCCGTTGGTATTGATTGCATAGTAGCAATTTGAAGAGACCTGGGAAAAGCACGAACTTTGAACTCATGAAAGTCAGATTTAGTGCATTTTTGTGTAGACCTGAAGGGAAAGGTTAATTCATCAAATTTTACATGCCGAGAAATATATATGCGACCTGTTTGCATGTCTAAACATTGATATCCTTTGTGATGTGTAGAGTAGCCCAAGAACACACAACGGACAGATTTATAGTCCAATTTTGATCGCCCAAAAGGGGTAAGTAATGGATAACATGCACACCCGAAAACTCGTAGAAGAGTATAAGAGGGTGGTGATCCAAAAACAAGCTCACAAGGAGACTTATTTCTAAGATTAGGAGTTGGAAGCCGATTGATAAGGAATACTGCAGTTGTGAATGCAGCTGTCCAGAATCGTGGCGGGATGGATGCATGAGCCATTAATGTTAAACCAGTGTCCACAATATGCCGATGCCGACGTTCAGCCAATCCATTTTGCTCTGGTGTGCCAGGACAAGATAATCTGTGAATAATACCATTGGAAGCAAAACAGTCTTGTAAACGTTGGTTTACAAATTCTCCTCCACCATCACTTTGAATTATTTTTACAGTAGTATTGAACTGGTTAGCCATTTGCTGTAGAAATGCTGGAAATATAGTAATAACATCAGATTTACGAGCCATAGGAAAGTGCCATATGTATCGAGAATATTCATCGACGATGATTAAATAAAATCGAAATCCATCATAGGATGGAATTGAGGCAGGTCCCCACACATCGGTATGAAGAGTGTGCAAAAAAGTAGTAGCATATGTCTTTCGAGAGCAAAATGGTAACTTTGTTGATTTACCCAAGACACAACTTTCACAAAAACCAACAGTATTATTCAAAGATGATAAACATAAAAGCTGAAGAATTCGAGATTGAGGATGTCCCAGCCGAGCATGCCACAAGCTGCTAGATACTTTTGTTGATAATAGGCCAACTGGAGATTTTGTATGTTGTCATAGCTGGATTGGATACAAGCCATCAACCATGTAGCCCTTAAGTAGCACTTGTTTCGTCCTCATGTCCTTAAAAAGAAAGCCCCAAGAATAAAATATGAAATAACAGTTATGCTCCTTTGTAAGTTGAGAGACAGATAGCAATTTCTTTTTAATGTCAGGGACAACAAGAACATTATTGAGTTTAATATTAGTAGCGGGTAGTGAGACTTGTCCAATACCAGATATTTGTAATCCATTTCCATTTCCAACCATAACAGAATCATTGCCAAGATAAGAATGAATACCTTGCACCTCACTTGTATCAGCTGTCATATGATTATTTTCTCCTGTGTCGGGGTACTGATTAGTACTTAAAAGTGCATTGCTCCTGTGTCGGGGTACCAAGTTTCTTCTGTAGGATCTGCAACCTGAAGTGCAGCAAAAGCTTTAAATTGTTCTGCTTCCTCATCAGAGGCAAAACATCCATCAGCTTTATGATTTGGACCTCCACATCTGAAACAGGTTATACCTCCTCGTCCACGACCAGTGCTGTGTCCACCATGATTTGTAAATATTTGAGTACGAGTTCCAGGATTACCTTTAGTGAAGCGTGGAAGACGAGCATCTTTTTGGTGGAATTGAGAATTAGTCTGGTTGTGTGTAATATTACGACCACGAGAACCATGAGTTCCACGAAACTTTGTACTGGTTCTGCTACGGTTTGTGAAGAATGCAACATTAGGAGAAGTCACCCGCGTTGCTTGAAGACGTATTTCAAAATCACGTAGTTTGCCAATGACTCCTTCAAGAGGTGGAAAAACATCTCTAGCATTTAAGGCTGCCACTATAGGATCAAACTCAGATCCTAAGCCTCGAAGAATACATATGATGAACTCATCGTCATCCATTGGCTTACCTGCACCCCTCAGGGACAAGGCTAGAGATTTGGCCTTGTGCAGGTAATCTTCTAAAGAAGAACCGCCTTTGTTGAGCGACTGCAACTCGCCCTTCATCTGTTGAAGGCGATCCCGAGTATGACTACCATAAAGAGTCTGCAAAACATGCCAAGCATCATGAGAGGTTTCACTACTGATGACTTGGGAAAGGGGACCATCGGACAAGGAGCTATTGATCCACCCAAGGATCAATTGATCAGTGCGCAGCCACATAGCTGCTGCTGGATTGGTTCGAGACACACCATCTTCACCAGTGATGGTTTGTGATGGGCAGGAATCCTGATTTTGCACATAACTGAGAAGACCATTGCCACGCAAAATGGGAATGACTTGTGCTTTCCACAAAAGATAATTAGTCGAAGCTAGCTTAATAGAAATATCAGGCAAATGAGGAACAACAGATGAGAACTCAGAAGAATGAGAATTTGACACAGGTGGGATCAAAGAGGTAGAAGACTCCATCGTTGGTGATACCTAAAATAAATAATGAAAAGAAACCGTGGTTTGTGTAGGAAAACTAACTTATCTTTCCTTTGATATTATTCATCTTTTAAATAGAGATTACAGAGGCATGGGTAACGGATACATAGCTAATATCATGGCTGTCTATTGTGTTATACATGGAATATTATGGTTGTCTATGGTGCTATACATGGAAGCATAATTACTGCTTATTATGCTGTGCATGGAAGGAAATCACGTATACTAAACAGAGTGATAAAATCATGGGGATAGAATCATGGTTGATAAACTGTATCTCTTCATGATCAACTAAGCATTTTACTCATACATGATCTGAATTCACTTGTTTTGTTCGGGAAATAAGCATTAGACAAGAAGGCCAACGATCAACATCACATGGAATTTAAGACTCGGTTTATTTTTGGACAGAAAGGTTCCATCTTTGGACTCCACACTTCATTGTAAGGCAATCAAGACATTATTTATCGGTTTTTTGTTTTTTTTAACCAACGACATTATTTATCATGGAATGTATTGTTAGTGGAAACTTTAAGTATATTGTAAAGTTAAAACGAGTAGCAAATCTAATAAATGCTCCTAGAATATTGTGTGACACAAAAACAGCAACATTGGACTTGCAAGAATGAAGGGGACCGATGTTAAATTCGATGCAAAAAGACATAAACATGGCTAAGAGAATAAGAGAAATGTTACCATGCAGGGCTGAGTATAAACTTCCATTGCGGATAAAATCAGAGACCAACAGCTTCTCATCATGAGCAAAGTAATAAGCTCTCAGCCTTACAATATTAGGATGATGGACCCTCCCAATTGCTTCAACCTCGGACTCAAATTCCTTCAGCTTCCACGTGGCATCATCTTCACCCAGCCTCCTCACAGCAACAACCATAGGCACCACCGTACCAGACCCACGACCACCCACGACCACCTTGTACACTATCCCATTCCTACTTTTCCCCACCACAGAAGCAGATGCCCTCAATAAATCCTCTAATTCCAAATTAAACCCTTCATCGATCACCATAAATTTACCGTCCTGCCCCTCCTCTTTAAAAGTAACCTCATTATTGCCACTCTTTTCTATCTTTTCTTTTCCCACTTTACCCTCATTAGCCCCCCATTTCTTTCGATACAGCCACGCTGATACCGAAATAACACCGATAACCACCGAAACGCCCGAAATTAAGGGAACTGCTATCGACTCTGTTTTGATTTTCACGTTCTCAACACTCCCAGGGATAAAAACAGGATTTGGGTTTTTTGGGTTCTCAGGATTATCACTAATCGTGATAGTAACAGCTTCAGGACATGGAGTTCGTAGAGGAAAACCACAAAGACTCGGATTTCCAGCAAATGCAGTTGGCCCTTGGTTCACTAATGACCCAACCAAAGGCACTTTGCCACTAAGATTATTGTGTCTTAAATCTAAACTCATCATTACTGGAAAAAACCCATAAGACCCTGGAATCTCCCCAGAAAACGAATTGTAAGACAAATTTAAAGTCCCAGTTAAGCTTTTTAGCTTAATCAAAGATGCAGGGAGAGACCCGTTAAGACAATTAGAAGATAAATCCAAGTGGGTTAAGGCTTGCAAAGATTCAATCTTGGCAGGAATTGGACCTGACAGAGAATTGTTAGACAAATCAAGAAAGCGGAGAGTTGATGCATTGAAGAGCTGTAAAGGTATGAGTTTAGAGAAGTGGTTGCGAGAGAGAGTGAGTCGAGTTAGTGAGTCGAGAAGGCCAAGTTCGGAAGGAATGTAGCCAGTGAGGTTTTTGTTAGAGAGCGAAAGAGAAGTGACTCTGTGGTTAATGCAAGTGATACCATGCCAGTGACATGGGGTTGGGTCAGTTTCAGTCCAGGAAGCTAGAATGTCGGTTGGATCAGTTGTGATTGCGGCTTTGAGGGCTAGGAGAGCGAGACCATCAGTGTTAAGAGACAAGGAGAGAAATCGAAGGTTGGTTAAGGTGATTATAACGAGAAAGGCTGTGACTTTTAAGGGGATTGGTGACATTTTCATTTTTTGCTGTTTGAGCTCTGAGTTTCAACCATTTAGGAGAGTAAGAGATTGGAGAGGATATTTTGCAACGAGGAGTTGCTGAAGAGAAATAGTGGTTAGGTGTGAGGGAGAAGAAGAGGAGAAGGTTTTGGATTTGAAAGTTTTGAACTTGAAATTGGGTTTCCAGTTGGGAAATCCGAGGCAGGCAAGCACCGAGCAACATGGGAACGTAAGCAAATTTGAATTAACACAACGTGTTTTTATTTTTAAAAATACATTCAATTGACATAATATTTTATTATTTTTAAATTTTGTTTACAATATAAAAAAATTATTAAAAAAACAATTTTAAAATATAAAAATAAATATTAAATATAAATAATAAAGTTTATGATTGATTTCTCTACTGTCTATGCACAGCCTTTTTATTTATTTAATTAATTAATTATATATATTTTTAATAATTAATTAATTACTTTTAAGGTAATTTTTTTATTAAGGTTGCTATTGTTTTTAAAATGTTTTTAATTTAAAATACATTAAAATAATATTTTTAATTTATTTTTATATTAACATATTAAAATAATTTAAAAACATAAAAAAAATTATTTAATGATTTCGATAGCATAAAAAATTTTAAAAAAATAAAAATATTTAAAAAAACAATACAGTGCCATCGCTGCCTAAACCCGGAGCCTCAAAAGGTGGGCAGAAATTGGAAGTGGAAAGTAGGGACGGGATCGTAAATGTGCTGTTTACAGACTCTGTGGTTTGGTGTCAGAAAATCATTTGAACAAGGACACATTGCAGACATGCTTCGATGCTGGCGAGCTTCCTTTTTCAGTTTCCACTACCCCTCAGGACCACTCTCGTCAACTCGACAATGGCTGTGAGATTCAAAAAACTCCATAAGAAACGACGATCGGAAAAAAGTATAATTTTGTAATCCTCTTATCTTTACTTTGATTCTTTGCAGAGAACATGCTTAGCCTTAGTTGAGCGTCAATCATAGATTATTAGCCGCTGGAAGCTAAAAAAAATCCATGAGGGATCACAACAGGCCAAGAACGAGATGCGGACTTAACAGCTAACATTTCAAATTAATTATCCCAATTTTTTAAAAAACAATATTTTAATTTAATAACTTAAATAATTAAATATAATTTTAAAATATAATTTATATTATTCTTTAATATATTTTTTAAAATAAAAATATTTTAAATTTAAAATTTATATGCACCTGTATTACCTTGTGTTTGGTTTTAATTAAATAAATAAGATGATAAAATTCAAATTTATAATTACTTATCAATTAAAATTTTAATATTATATAAAAAATTATATCAATTTAATAACTTAAATTATTAAATAAAATTATATTTTATAATTTATATTATTAATTAATATTAAATAAAAAACCGAGCCTGAAAGCCAGCATGAGCTCGTTTCTGCTGGAAAATGGAGCACGGAACAAATGTCCAGACTTCAACAAAGAAGAAACGGACAGGTGCCCTAGGAAGTCCATCTTTCTGGTTTTACGTGGTCACCCATTTGGGGTCCAGACTTGTGTACAACTCTTTAGGTGTCGACTAGCCAGGCTAGGCCAGGCCTGGGTGGACAAAAGAGTATATAATAAATTTAATATATTAAAATAATTAAAAAATTAAAAACTTACAAAACCCTGGGTTAACCACCATTTCAAACACCCTTATCTAATTGTTTATTCAAATTTGAAGAACCCAACTACCCCTGGATGCTTAGATATATATTTTATTTTTCAGAGTATTTTAATATTTTTATTGTTATTAAATAGCAAAAGACATCCCATCAGCATCAGCCATGCCAAATATTATTTGACTGAGGGATTGTAGTATTCTAATTAACATCAAAATAAGTTCATGCTACAGTAAAGATACTATTTAAACCGCCATCAATGTCAGTATATTTGCTAAGAGGTGTACTTCAGTGTATTCATTGCTCGCTAGTGTGATGCCTTGTGGGGAGTGTCAGTCAGAACTTAAAAGGACACTTTTACATCAAAAGCCTTAAGATCAAAAAAAATTTCTCTCTGTGAAGGGTTATTTTTTTTCTTTTAAGTTATTTTTTTATTTAATGTTTTATTGAGGGTATTATAGTATTTTTACCCATATTAATATTAAATTTTTATAAGTTTTCAGCTCCTGCATCATGTATGGAAGGCGCCCAAACACTTTGATTGGCGTGCGCAACACTTTCTAGTGGTAGAGTTTGTTTCCATCGTGTCGTTGGATGTCCCATTATATCCTTTCTTTCATGTTGCGCCACAAGTCAACCATGGATGGTTGGTTTGTCTCTGATCGATGCGAGCCACCCATGGATGGTTGGTTTGTCTCTGATCGATCTTCCTAATGATTTTTCTCTCTCTTCTTCTATGAATTACAGATTAAACTTCTTGATTTTTTATATTTCTATTTCAACTTCTTCTTTTTTTAATTTTAGTTATTGGTTCTTTTATAAAAAAATTATTTCTTCTTAATTTAGATATTCAATTCCAATATATATATATATATAATCCTTATTTTTTTTAATCATAATTTAAAAAACTATCATAACATCAAACAGAGAATTTAATCTATTAAGAAAATTACTATAGTACGCAACATAACATAAAACGATACAATTGCATTCATATGTCATGATTTTCTTTACAGTTTCAGTTAAAAAGTACAGCTAAAGTTTTGATTTACCGCCTCTGGTTCCAGGAAAATTGCAAGGCATCATAATGACCAAATCCATTATATATAACTCTAATTGGATTTTCCACCCCACAATCCTGGCCATACTCTGCAATGGATATCAAGCCCCTCGCATTCTTGTCGTACATGTACACAGTGATTGGCATCCTGCAGTTATTTTATGGCTTCCATCAATATTAACCCTCAATGAATCTTCCTCTCTCTTTTTCTCAAAAGTTGAAGACAAGTGAATGAAAATCATATGCTA